CTTAGCTGAATGCTGATCAAACAAATATTCATTTCCGGGTATCACGCTGTATAAAGTAGATTCCAGTTTTATCGCACATGAGTAGTGTAAATAATTTTTTAAATACATGTACTTTAATGGAATGGCAGTTTAAGTTTTTTTTCTTGAATGATTAAGTTTTTTTTCATGAATGGGTTATAAACAGAACAGAACACAGGCTCATGCAGGGTGTCCAGCGTCAGAAGAAATACTACATACACAAGCAGGGCCTTCTGTGGTTGTAAAACAAGTTACTTATCTATATTGGAACGAAAATTCTCTCCAACATAACGTACACAAAATTAAAGTAACTATAAAAACTAGTATATGGCATTCTAAAATCTTTTTTTTAGTATATACACTATATACCTCTGAATGTCTTTTTGCAACATAAAATTCCTGTATTTTTCTTAAAATTCCTTGTCTTGGCTAAATGCGTCTCTAAAAAGGGGGGGGGGGGGGGTGTCCGAGAAAGTGCATTTGACTTTGTAAATATATTACTTAGAAAATGAAAAGATGATCAAATATCTCAGCAACTTCGAGATAGCAGGTTGAGAAAACATACAGGAGATTTAGTTTTATTTCTACTTTCTCCCTTTGCTTGCACAGAGTTAATAGACTGGTCAGAAACAACGATAAAGATGTTGATGCAAGACCAAAATGATGATAGCACATGTTATCACTGTTTTTTCAGTAAATATTTATTTACCTTGCCCACAAGTGCTGGAAGGTTCATAGAATTGGTAGCAAACCCCATTGGAACTGTTATTGCAGCCTCAACACCTAGATAATCGGCAACAAGCTCGTCTAATTCTTTGTGAATCTGGAGATAGCCTGTGAATAAATGAAATGCAGTTAAAAGTTTAAAAGATTGTGGACCTTAGTGAAAGTTTGACAATATATATTTCTATTCAGTATTGAAATAAATAAAGTCAAAGCAGATCACCGAAAATTCAGTTATATTAGCTTATTCATTGGTAATTTTTCAGCTCCTCGATAAACAGCCCCCCCCCTCCGGAAAAAAACCCATAAAAAACTAAAGGAAGTATGATTATCTCAATTTACAAAGAAACTTTAACAAGTACACATAACTTGTCTACTTCATTGGGAAGATCTGTTCCTGTACCTAATTCTTGTCTGCTAGCGCAAATGGCATTCCCCAGTTCTTCGACCGTCTTTTCTACAGCCTCTGCACATGGTCCACTGTTTTGAGAAAATCCCGGGTAATTGTAGGACCCAAAGTTGATGGCTCTAGTAGAGGTCCCCGTATATCTAAGAAATCAATTCACTGCATTATTGAATCAAAAATGTTGACTTCTTATCTCCAAGGTGTTTGTATCCAGGATTACATAATACGCGTATTTGTTTGAAGAAAATGGGTGAAAAAGGAGTGCAAAATGCCTGTAGCTTCTAATGAATAAAAAACAACTGATTTCAATTTTTTAAACGAAGTATTTAGAGCAAAGTTGTAATTATTGTAGGGTATGTAATAATGACGAAGTTCTTCAATTTTCTGCAGAAAAATTCTCTTCACTTGATAAAAAAAAATTTCTTGTGGTTACCCTAAATCATTTTCTCCGATTATAAAATAAAAGACAGACTTCAAAAACGTGAAAAAAATGTGGAAGAGGGGATCTGGGTAGATAGCTCTCCGTGCAGAAATAGTATTACCGGAATGTCCAATAATGATCGTCGGTTACGCGATCCATGACGTCCATCTCTGCTCCAGGAACACTGCATATAGTCCGGTATAGTGTATCCTTGCCTCTTCTGAAGATGTACCAGTGATAAAAGCTTTCCCAGGTCTGGTACAGGGGAACAAATCCCTACAAGGGGAAACAGAAAGTTACAATGAGACTCAAAGGAGGTACTTAAATTTTTTTGTGTTTCGAATTTCAAAATACAATATACAATGCAAAATTTCAAAAAGGGTATTACTTGTGGATTACAATCTTACCAGGCCTAGAAAATTTGGAAAACGGTTAATTTTATTTATCGCTTAAATTTAGTATTAAAACGACAAAACGATCGTTTTTTAATTGCATTTTAGAATTAACAAAATTGTAATATTTAAAAAATTCTAAAGAAAATTGTAAATACGATCTAATCAAAACATAGCTTCTTCTAACCCCCCTTTTTTTCTAAATACATGTATCATAAAAGAAATGGCATTATACAATGAATGGAAATTAAAACAATATTCCAGAAGTACACATATATTTTGTGCCATATATTTTGGCCATGGTCAATACAAGGTTGTCAAAAACACAAATAAATAAAAAAAAAAAGGAGCAATAAAAAGGGAGATTTACCGGAATGTTAGGTTCCGATATGTTTTTAACTCTTCCAATTCCTAGCTTTTTCAGAAACTCTCGTACATGTCCCACAAGAATGAGTATTAGAAAACTAATATACGTCATTATAGATGTCCAAAGAGGCGGGTCCTCAAAAGACTCGTAAAATTTGGCCATCCAGTGTTTATCATGCTGAAAGCTTAAGTCCATGTCAAGCTTTTGCTGATTTGAACGTCCATGCTGCGTTCCTGAATATGATCTAAGATGTCCATTCTGACGTTGTTTTGTCGTCACTGTTGGTTTCGTTTTCAGTGAATTAATCTGAGGAAGGATTCCATTTTCACAAGTCAACACTGGAATACGAGTCGTCTGTTCTGTAACTGAGCCAGAGAAGGTTGATTCTGTGAGAATGTCCGCCATTCTCTTTGATGCCGCAGTGTCCAGTGTCTGTAACGTCTGGGGAGGGGGGAGGAAATCTTCCTCAACACGTGAGCTGTAGATTTCCTTGATTGTCATCCTCCCATAAATTCTCGATCTTTCTTACTCTGAAATTTTGACAAAATACAATAAATTTACTATGGTTCAGATGCAACAATATTACTGTAAATAGAAGTGGATGTAGAGCTTTCATCCATTGCCATACTTAGGCTATGCCAGCCTACTTTTCTATATAGATTACAATGGACTGGATCATGCATTTCTGTAACATTAGCACATGTAATTGAAATAAATCTGGTCCAGTCCTTAACCTTATCGATTGTACACACAAGAGCAAATCTATTAATTTTCTGTATGTCCCAACGATGGCAAGACTGATGCTGTAGGGACTTATTTGCTTTATAACAGATTTAATTCTTCTCACTGACAACTGCATGTACCAACTAAGGAGAGCTGGCTACTCGATTTCTAAGTAAACAATTTAATGTTAATTCAGTGAAATTTGAACTTTTGAGACACAGAGCTTTCAAATGCTTCCCGGGGGATGTAATGCTGTCTCCTTTTATAATGAAGATCATAAATAAGGAAAAACGATGTATTTGACAGAAAAATGGGGATTTCTCGAGTCTTGTAAATGTACTGTAGCAACGACGATATAGGCCTAAAAAATCGGATCTGCAAAATGACTGATCTACTCTATATTATCCAGGGTGATGTCTGAAGAGATTTTGTTACACGAGCATTCCTCAAAAATAAAACGGAGGGACACGACCCAGTCAATTAATAAAAAAAAAAGACCGCATATCCGAACGAATATGTAAAATTCATCTTGAAAAAACAAAAAACAAAACTGTAGATCGATTGTCATCGATTGCAATGAACTGATAGTGATAATATTATGACCCTTTCCTAGATACCGTGTTACTTTAAATCCGATTTCCTAATGAATTAGGCATTCACCAATTATAAATGCTATTATAATATGATATTCTGAACGGCTGTCTTAGATGATTAATGCATAATAATATGGTCTTTAATTAAACTAACATACCTTCTGTGAGGCAGTGAACTGAAAACAAAAGCAGTCATTTTTTTCTTTCATGACGTAATAATGTCGTCAGTAATATTGAACCCGATTTTAATAACAAGACTTTTATTTTAAAAAAAAATGAGGCCATCCTTAAAAAATTGTTTGTTTTGCATTGCCGCCTGAAGGGTTTCAGACACAGGAGGAAGGGAGGGAAATTATTTTTTTTTTAATTGAAAACGTAATTTTACATAAATCTGACACTATATTTCAGTGTTTTGTGTGGTGCATGTGATACATGTAATGGGCAAAAAAAAAATTAATTAAGGTAAGTCACTCGTCAGCTTTTTAGAAAAGTTCACGCAGAAGCTTTTACTTCAAAACTACTTATTAAAATTCAATTTTTATAACATATTTAAATTCAACAATGTAAATTTTTTAACATTCAATGAAAAAACTGCTCAAAAATTTACAAAGAAGCAAGATTTATGAGGGACTATTTCTCTTGGTGGAAGGATATTTAGCCGAAAATTCTGCAAATCTACACATATGGGTCATTTTCAAAAAAAGTCTATTTTTTGAATGACATATTTTTGAAAAATGAAAGTGGTTTTACTATGATTTTTTCAACTTTATTTGAATGATATAGTAATAAACTCCTAAAATCCACTGCATTGCATAAAAGAAAATATTTCTTTTAACAAGAGGCCCATGGGCCACATCGCTCACCTGAGAAGCTTTGACCATTCTGTTCTTTACCAGATTTCCCCCTTGTAATACATTATGTATCCCCACCCCACCCAACTGATCATAATTAAGACATTTTGAAATCAGCTACCCCAGGATCCTTCCATGTGCAAATAAGTTTCAGCTTTTTTGGCCCAGTGGTTCTGGAGAAGAAGATTTTCAAAGATTTTTCCTATATATTTCTATGTAAAACTTTGATCCCCCCATTGTGGCTCCACCCTTCCCCTGGGGGTCATGATTTGAACAATTTAAAATCTACATTACCCAAGAATGCTTCCACATAAGTTTCAACTTTTCTGGCCCGGTGGTTCTTGAGAAGAAGATAATCAAAGATTTTTCCAATATATTTCTATGTAAAACTTTGATTCCCCATTGTGGCCTCGCTAGTTCCCGGGGGTCATGATTTGAACAATTTAGAATCTACACTACCCAACAATGCTTCCACATAAGTTTCAACTTTTCTGGTCCAGTAGTTCTTGAGAAGAAGATTTTCAAAGATTTTTCCTATATATTTCTATGTAAAACTTTGATTCCCCATTGTGGCCCCGCCCTTCCCCCGGGGGTCATGATTTGAACAATTTAGAATCTACACTACCCAACAATGCTTCCACATAAGTTTCAACTTTTCTGGCCCAGTAGTTCTTGAGAAGAAGATTTTCCAAGATTTTTCCTATATATTTCTATGTAAAACTTTGATTCCCCATTGTGGCCCCGCCCTTCCCCCGGGGGTCATGATTTGTACAATTTAATATCTACACTACCCAAGGATGCTTCCATAAAAGTTTCAGCTTTCCTGGCCCAGTAGTTCTTGAGAAGAAGATTTTGAAAGATTTTTCCTATATATTTCTATGTAAAATTTTGTTTGCCCATTGTGGCCCCACCCTTCCCCCGGGGGTCATGATTTTTACAATTTAGAATCTACACTATCCCAGGATGCTTCCACATAAGTTTCAGCTTTTCTGGCCCAGTAGTTCTTGAGAAGAAGATTTTCAAAGATTTTTCCTATATATTTCTATGTAAAACTTTGGTTCCCCATTGTGGCCCCGCCCTTCCCCCGGGGGTCATGATTTGAACAATTTAATATCTACACTACCCTAGGATGCTTTCAAATAAGTTTCAGCTTTTCTGGCCCAGTAGTTCTTGAGAAGAAGATTTTCAAAGATTTTTCCTATATATTTCTATGTAAAACTTTGGTTCCCCATTGTGGCCCCGCCCTTCCCCCGGGGGTCATGATTTGAACAATTTAATATCTACACTACCCTAGGATGCTTTCATATTAGTTTCAGCTTTCCTGGCCCAGCAGTTCTTGAGAAGAAGATTTTCAAAGATTTTTCCTTTATATTTCTATGTAAAACTTCGATTCCCCATTGTGGCCCCGCCCTTCCCCCGGGGGTCATGATTTGAACAATTTAATATCTACACTACCCTAGGATGCTTTCACATTAGTTTCAGCTTTCCTGGCCCAGTAGTTCTTGAGAAGAAGATTTTCCAAGATTTTTCCTATATATTTCTATGTAAAATTTTGTTTGCCCATTGTGGCCCCACCCTTCCCCCCGGGGTCATGATTTTTACAATTTAGAATCTACACTATCCGAGGATGCTTCCACATAAGTTTCAGCTTTTCTGGCCCAGCAGTTCTTGAGAAGAAGATTTTCAAAGATTTTTCCTATATATTTCTATGTAAAACTTTGATTCCCCATTGTGGCCCCGCCCTTCCCCTGGGGGTCATTATTTGAACAATTTAATATCTACACTACCCTAGGATGCTTTCACATAAGTTTCAGCTTTTCTGGCCCAGTAGTTCTTGAGAAGAAGATTTTCAAAGATTTTTCCTATATATTTCTATGTAAAACTTTGGTTCCCCATTGTGGCCCCGCCCTTCCCCCGGGGGTCATGATTTGAACAATTTAATATCTACACTACCCTAGGATGCTTTCATATTAGTTTCAGCTTTCCTGGCCCAGCAGTTCTTGAGAAGAAGATTTTCAAAGATTTTTCCTATATATTTCTATGTAAAACTTCGATTCCCCATTGTGGCCCCGCCCTTCCCCCGGGGGTCATGATTTGAACAATTTAATATCTACACTACCCTAGGATGCTTTCACATAAGTTTCAGCTTTTCTGGCCCAGTGGTTCTTGAGAAGAAGATTTTTTAATGACCCCACCCTATTTTTGTCTTTTCTTTATTATTTCCCCTTGCGAGGGGATATGTCCCTTCATTTTAACAATTTAAATTCCCCTTCACCCAAGGATGCTTTGTACCAAGTTTGGTCAAAATCGGCCCAGTGGTTCTTGAGAAGAAGTCGAAAATGTGAAAAGTTTACAGACGGACGGACAGACGGACGGACAGACGGACAGACAGACGGACAGACGGACGGACGACGGACAAAATGTGATCAGAAAAGCTCACTTGAGCCTTTGGCTCAGGTGAGCTAAAAAATATTGACATTTTATCTTAGTCATTTAAATTTTAATGTCCTTCCTGTTACTTTCATAAAAAGAGCTGTAAAACTCTATTTCAAAATTTTTATCAAATAATCTTTTGTATATCGTCAAAAAATGAAAAAAAAATATCATTGAATGCCAAGATGTTTGACATTCATCTAATACATAGCGTTTAAAAGCATGTCAAACTACCATATACCAAACAGAAGCAAAATATATGGGTTTTTCTTCATGAAAAGCCTTATTGCTGAATATTTATATGATATAGTTGAAAAAAACATTCTTGTACATTATTTTTGTGATTAGAATAAACAGTTACAGAAAGTTATTTAAACAGTGCTCTGCCAAAGCAATTTAAACTAGGAAAATATACTGGTAACAGTAAGGACTCGGGTAACAGGAAGGACAAAACAGTAACAGGATGGACAATGAAATCTACATTTTAAAGAAAAATTGGCTTTTTTTTAACTTTATTGGTTAGAAAAAGAGAAATAAATGTAGAATAAAAACATGATTTTGTCAAATCTGTCAAATTCGAGACAATAAAAAACATTTATGTCCATCCTGTTACGAAATTTAATTGTAAAGTGCTATTAAAATATTTATCACTTCAATTTTTGTTTATTAAAGGTACTCTATGCTGTTGCAAAACTTAGAATTTTTCATAATTTTAAGAACAACAAATGATAAAACTTAAATCGGTATATAAATACCAGGATAATTTGTCCCTCCTGTTACAATTTCTGTCCATTCTGTTACAAGAGTGCATGTTTAAGTAGTAATGGCACTATTTGAAGCACTAACATATTTCAATATGATTTACGAAGTTTTTTAACATGTGTTATTAAACTTATATTACTTAGAAAAATAAAAGTAATTGTTTTTATTGTTAAAACTCAAGATATGAAGTCCAGTTTTCCTTACTGTTACCATATTAATGGTAACAGGAATGACAATAACAGGATGGACGTTTCTCATATAAATCACCAATTAGTTAGTATAACGTACTCTTTTTGCATCATCGAGACATTGAAACAATTTCTTTGTAGCTTAGTTAATCTAATTGTTCTAGCAGAATAAACAATTTAAAGAGTACTTGCATATTAAGAAGGTAACAGATAGGACATATTTTCATTATACTCTACCAATAAGACAAACGTATCGACCTTTGAACCCTTTCTTTACTCACTTTCAAATCATGGCGCTCATAAACTTGAGACAACAGAAAATGATGATATATTGTGGATCATGAAAACAGTTCCTAGGAAAGTGAGATAACTTTTATTTTAACATTTTCTTTTTGGTAACAGGAATGACATAAACTGGAGGGACATGTCACTTCCTGAACGTTAAATGCACAATACTAGTATTTAGTGGGCAGCAGAAGTAAAACAATCATATCAAATTAATCTGTAAATAAATTCAATTAATATGAGGTGCAAAATTTGTACATATCTTCACATTGTAATATTTTCCCTATCATTTAAATAAGCACGTTATAAAATTTTTGTTAATGTGACATGGTTTTACTGTTAAATTTTACTCGGAATGCATAGGATATTTTTTATAAAACACCTGGGAGATGATCATAAAATAACTTATAAGCTGTATGACCATGTATATTAACCAACGGGAAAAAAACTTTCACTCTAAAAAATGTTTTTCCTATTTTTCTGATCAAAAGACAAAAAAGTGGACTTTTTTTGAAAATGACCCATTTATAAAATTTAATGTAATGGAAATTTAGCCTCATATACTTTTACTCAGAGAATATTTTCCGTTTTGATATTGCTAAAAATATTTAATATAGGTCTTAATTCATATTTTTAGACTAAGTTTTACACCTTCCCTCAACAAACTTTTCCAAAAAATGAAAATATATTAAAGAAGTCAAGATTAAATTTACACCATTTTTTGCCTGAAAATCACATATTTTGACAAATATTTCAATATCAACATCACTGGCCCCACCTTTTTCTTTCATTATTTTAAACTACTCGATACTTGTGACTGATCAGCACTTAAGTCGTAAAAAGTTTGATATAAGAAAATTTTTTATTGCCTATTAAGTTTCTTAATACCCCAAATATGTTATTTTTTAGTGCAAAAAGGTCACACAATAATTTACGCGCATTAATTTGCAAGATTTGTTTTATGATAAATATTATTCAAACTATTTTACGTAAAATAAGATAATATTTATTGCCATGCTTACATCTGATAAAATATGATAAGGGTTAAAGTAATTAACCAAAGAGATGAAATTTAAGTACAAAAAGGTCAACTTAAATGTACCGTAGATCAGTAGGATGCACACTGACCCCCTATTTTCTTTGCGATTTTGAGTTACACTTTATCAGTACTTAACCAAAATATACTTCTCAAAAAATCCTTGATTTAACAAATTTCAGGAGTGACTTACCTTAAATAAAAAATTCTTCCTCCTTTTGGTCAATAAAATTTTTTCAGGAGGGGGCATTTCAATGAGGCGGGAGGCAATTCCAAACAAACTATAATTTTATTTTGGCCTGAAAATATTTTTTTGACATGTGTAAAATATTCTTGTCCATTTTTTGGTTTGTTCCTAGCATATAGTTCATCGATTTGATTTGATCTAACAATCTCAGGCTGTATTTTTATAGAAATACCATCTAGGTCCCTGCTGCGAACGCACTCCTGATATATCTGTAAATCATTATCTTTTCCAGGCTTTTATTTATTTGAAAACGTACAGCAAATTTTGGTAGTCATTGCGAACCCCTTTTTGGAGCCCCATTAAAAAAAGTGCAAGATCAGCCGATTGTCTGAGTCACTGCGTTCAAAATTAACTTCAGACGGGAAAATGCATTTTATACACCGCGACTACAAAAAGACACATTCCCCGTCATACAAATTCAATTTTGTATTTGTTATATTTTAATTAACAGATTTGTAACATGGGAACATTTGAATACTCACTATTCGAATAAATAAAGATTACTACCATTTAAAACTATTCTATAATGATCACTAGTACTCAGAAGGGCATTAAATTCATATACGGTGTAAAATAAACTTTAGCAGATAAAATTCATAAAAAATTTGTAAATTACATATCATATTCCTGCAAATTCTGCACACACATGTGAAAAAAAATATATTAAACTTACTTCAAAGCTATACAAAAAAGCAAAGCAAATGATCCATGCACAATATAAATTTAACTGAAATGAAATGAACATGCGATGGCAGCAGTGTCGCTGTCTTGTCTGTTTCAGTTTCATTGTTTGTGTACTAGTTCACGTGTATTTTTATGGCTGAGTACACAAGACATGCAATAGTCACATGGCCCCTAGACTGATACAGTACGTAAGGAATCACGCCATCGGGTGCCTCGTTACTTATCATTTATCACTCAACCAAATAAAAACATAGTAGAATAAATAGCCGTAGGACGGAAATCGTATGATTAGGAATGATTTAATGCTGCAAACATTTTCAGCTCGTTTACTGGACCCTTTGGACTTAGTCTTAATTTTTCCCTGGTTATATATGATTATACCTGTTAACACCTGATTAAGGAATAATATGATCACGCAATAGCGACATGTCCTTTTAGCATGTCAGAATTTTTAGATTTGAATTGCTTGACATTATCAGAGGTCAAACAGACCATTAATGCATATTTTCTATATATAAAGTACAGTAATTAGAAAGTTTCCATAATTATACATAAAAAGAATTAATTAAGTAGATGAATTCTACAGATTTGATACACAAAAGCATAAGAAAAGACAATTTACTTTAAACAAAAATTGAGGGGGGAGGGAGGGGTTGACATGCTAGTTCCCTGCAGGTGGGGTTGCGGCTTATAAGACCATCTCATGATAATAATCCACCAATTGTCCTGACTGTATGGACTGAGCATGTGGTAACATAATAAATGGAGAAGTTCCTTTATGACGCACACACACGCATACTCTTCTATAAATTACACCCTTTACGCTACCGTGGAGGACAGTAATTTGAGGAGATAGATGTCACATATCAGTATAAACTATAATTTAAATTATTACGGACACGAGAATGAGGCATAGTTTAAATTTACCATTGGATAAACCATTGAAGAAGACGTGGTGAGGGTTCTCGACTAACGCGACTAAATGGGTCTACAATAGATGATCATTAATTAACAACTTTTTTTTCCAATTTATACCCAATGTCAAAAATAATGATTACCAATTAATTACGCCTCCCTCCACATAAATGTATTATACTAACTTTGAATTTTTAACACTTTTTTTTTCAATTATTAACGAAGTTTTAAATACAATGACATCCTTTAATTTATTACCCGAATCTTACTGAAAGACAATGGGAAGCGACGAGGGTTGAGGGTCAAAGCAACGAATGCCTAATTAATCAAATAAAAATTACAAGAATGCATCCCCTCTGCCTCTTATATATTTTCCAATTATAGGAATTTGCATTTATTTTTAACTACTAGTATGTGCATAATAAGTAATATAATGTTTGACTTGATGACAAAGTGGAATATACATTCATTAATTTAAAATCTTCATAATATTTGTTGAGTTGATTTGTTTCGAACATGCCTGAAAACAGCTCGCTGGTGATTGATTGAAATTATTGAAATCAACAGGTGATTAATTTCGAGCATTCGTTCATTGAAATACGGGTAGCTAAATGGCAGTATAAAAAAGCACTATACATCGTAATAAACCGAGAAAAGGCTACAAGTACATTTTCCTAATAACAATAATCATTTTATAAGAGCACTTAGCCTTTTTTTGCGATTTTACATTGAACTGGACATTAAAGCTACATCATCTTTCCTGATCGATAAACATTTGTGTTGCAGATGCCAGGTCCTAAGACGAAAACATGATTATTTAAATAATTAGAAGGGTTAATGCAGTTACTATGCACTGAAACAAAGAATGATTTTGATCTTTAAAAAAAAACACCCTCGCCATAATCCACATATTAAATGATAATTTTTCCCCTTCCAAACTTCACTATCATATTAATTATGATGTTTACTTGAAATTTACTTCATAATTCAAATGTTCAAACTGACCTTTTGGAATTGCTAAAATATCCTGATAGCTGATTATAGTGCCTTGGTCAGTTCACATCACGGACAACTAATTCTACCATGCACCAACGAAGCAGCAGACGCGTCCTCTTATTGATTTCATACAGAGCCCCACCGAATGCTGCGATTGGGAGATTGGAGGGAACCGATGATAACACTATGTAACAAGAAACTCTTTTACTGGATTTTGTCAAACAATCACAACAGCAGGTTCGTTAATGATTACACCACGTGGATCGATTTTCTATATTTGACAAGTCCATATAACTTCATCATCTAACAAATCTATACTTATGTTACATAAAATCAATGAACAAACACACTTTACGCTTTGGCTTTGTAGTATATGACCTTTGACCCAGACAGATGCTTCACAGCTCCTCTTGATCTGTTGAAATTGCGTAAGAAAAACCCATTCACCTTTGTCAAAATATTTACAGAAGAGCTTAACTCTGAACGTTTCTGTTTAATCATCTAACTGAGATGAAATAACTGTGAAATTCCCTTTCGTATAGATATTTGTTTTTTAAAGTGTGCGTTTCCTGCTTATTTAATTTAAAGCAGCAAATCATAATGAGGTTTTGTTTTTTCTTTTCATTCAAGACATGCCTAACTAATTCTAGCGCTATAACAGAGCTTGACAAGGAATAAATAATTATAACATTGAGCGTTCACTGGGGGGTTAAAAGTGTATATTTCAGAAGTCAAATCAGCTGATTTTGAATTAAGGTACGGGAAGGGAAATTAACTTCAATTCCACAAACTTGATTCAAAGCTCTCTGCAAATCCAAAGTGTCAATGCTGCTATATATATCCGTAAACGGAGAGAAAACTCAAGATTTGTAGGCTATTTAAATCAAAATTCCTGATACAAAATGATAATTATCATACCGAGATTATTTTTTCTCGAGTCAATTAATGTATATTTACACAATATGCTTATTTTTCGCTGGTGGTAATTGGGTACCCTTACTAGTACGTGATGCTAATCGACTCGTTTATATGTGTATATATTACTCAGCACACAATTACCACCTTGGTGGTGAGGAAATGTCACAAGCAGAAGTACACACAATACTTGCATAATGAACCCTGAATTCTGGACAAACCTGCATGCTAACAATGGCTACTGGAGCCACCATCCTGGTCATTGGAGCGGCATCAGAGGGTGGGGGTCGCAGTCCGACACTTCTATAATGAACATTTGATTCAATTCAAAGGGATAGAAGAACATATCCATCGACTTTAAATTATTTTAAAAAATATCATATCAAGATCGATATATTTAAGTGTTGTACGAACAAGGATGTATATAACTGATTGCACATAATTGTAACTTCTATTGACAAGAAATACTAGAATACAGTGCATTTGTACTACACATTTAAAAATAAATTAATTAAACAAGGGATCTTTTTTTTTAATCTATCATTTATTTTTCATTTGCTCATTTGAATTTTCATGAGATTTCTTTTAAATAAAACATTATATCTATCATTAATAAGTAGGATTTTTTTTACTGGTAATTATATGTTTATTTTTTCTATAATATATTTTTACACTCGTTTAATAATAATTAAATTTATTTGATCCACATTCATCAACAAGAGCAGGTCGCGTCAACTGTCTGAAGAGCATATATGGAATGGAATGCTTTGAAAGTGAAAAAGGAATGATAACTCTGAAAGGTTTGCAGAACTCATAGCAGAAAGTGGGAGGGGTGGGTAAATTAAAGTTTGACGACCTAGCTATATAATGTACCGTTTTTTGATTATATCTTTCGAAGGAACTAAATCTAACTCTTTATTTTAAACCTCAAAGTTTTTCAAAATCTAAAAGAAAATTCTTTGTAATCTTCGAAAATGCTGCAAATCCATTCAGTTTTCAGGCTTCAGTAGTTTTTGAACTGTGTTTCCTATTTTATTTGGACTGGAGGTTCCTTTTCAAAGGAAAAAGGGACCTAAAACAAAGTTATTATTTACCACAACCTTAGATCTTTCCATACGTGTGTGTGAATCTTTGCTTGAGAGTGTGTAGTGGGGAGGTTAAAGGGACACAACCCTGGAACCCCTCCTTCCAAAAATGGCTGGATCCGTCCCTGCGCACTGAAATAATTTTATTTGTAGTTAGAGTGATCTGCCTTGAATTTATAAGTTATTTACTTTGCATGCATTCTTACACCCAAAACCACATGCCTTTAGATCGCTTAGAAAAAAATTGAGGTGTTGCAAAAAAAAAATTAAAGGTATGGAACCAATCTCCTATGCAGAGTTGTCGTTCGTTCCTCTCTCAGACGAATGTATGAGCCGATGGTAGAGAGTGGTATGGAACTCTTAGGGTACCTACTTTCGCCAATAAAATTCTTTTAAATCAAATGCTTTACAATTTTACTTTCTATCCATATCTATTCAAATATAAATAATCTTCATTACTACCAAAGTTCATTTCGTAATTCCTTATATTTCTCGAGATATTCTGATATCAATTCCCAAATTGACCTAAATTTTTTTTACTCGACATCAGCTTGGCAAGCTCCAGACAGTTCAGTATTACGTTACGCTACAACTCCATATCGGGATATAGGGAATGAAAGTAGTCCCGGGGAATTGACACTGTATGGAGTTTGATCAGCTTGGCAAGCTCCAGACAGCTCAGTATTACGTTACGTTAAGCTACAACTCCATATCATTATTCGTAGGGAACGAAAGTAGTCCCGGAGAATTGACACTGTATGGAGTTTGTCAGCTTGGGCCTTCACTAATTTGTAAAGCGGGAACGACGGGACAAATT